CCTGGGATCATGACCTGAGCTGAAGGCAGATGCTTAACCGACTGAGCCACCCAGGCATCCCGAGACAGCCTTTTCAATAAATGATTATGGATATCCATTGGCAAAAAAAAAAAAAAAAAAGCTTGACCTAAATTTCACACCATATGCAAAAATTAACTCAAAATAGAACACAGACTTAACTGTAAAACATAAAACTATAAAACTTTTAGAAAGAACATGGGAAAACTTTAGGGGACTGTGGACTGGCAAAGACATAAAAGCCATGATGATCCATAGAAAGAAAACTATAAATTGGACCTTAAAAAATTAAAAATTTTTGCTTTGTGAGGGACGCTGTTAAAAGGTGAGAAGACAAATTCTTACATAATTATACACACACACACACACACACACACTGGTGAGATCTGAATCTATGGATTGTACTAATATCAGTTTCTTGGTTTTGACATTGTACTATGGTTGTGTGGGACACTGGAATGAAGTGGGGGTGGGGATGTGATGCATGAGACTTCTCAGTACATTTCTTTGCAACTTCCTGTGAATCTGTAATTATTTCAAAATAGAAAGGAGAGAGGGAGAGGCAGAGAGACAGAAAGAAAGAGGGGATAGGAGAAGGAAGAGGAGGGAGGGGAAAGAAGGAGGAAAGAAGAAAGAAAATTAAGATGAGAACTGAAGGTGACACAGGATGAATCATCAGAGCTTCCACCTGGTACCTCTACTTACCATCTTGCTGGATTTTGTTCCCCAGTCCCTCCAGCAGGATCCTGGTATCATAAGTTAATAGCACCCTAACCATCTGAGCACTGGATAGTGTCTGGGGGTCAGTTCCCCCACTTCACAGACTCCTCTAAACCATCACCAATTTCTGTCAATTCTACCTATTATCTTAAATCCAACCTCATTCTCCAGCTTTAGGTCAGTCATTTCATGTCCTCATCATCTCTTGCTATTGCCTCTTAAATGCCTCCAGCCTTGTCCTTCCTAAATACATAGCTAGTCATTCCCCTGCATAAGACCATTCAATTTCAGGGTCAAATCTAAGGTCTTTAGCACAGAATTCCAGGTCCTTCCTGCTCTATCTCCTACCTGTTACTCCAGCTTCATCTAACCTCACACCCCTACAACAAACACCTGTTTGGCAGCCCCATTAAAATATTAGTAGTTCCTCAAGTGGGCTTTGCTTACTCTCCCTTCAATGCTTTTGTACAAGCTGTTCCCATTGCTTGAAATAGCATTTACCTACTCCTTCCCTTGCCTAAATAACTTTTAATCTTCAATACTCAAACATCATACTCCTTCTAAAACATTCCCTAAACTTCTCCCCCTCCTCGAAAGATTAAATTGCTTTTTTCTGTGTGATCCCATGGCACCTTATCATACCCTAATCATGGCACTGATGAATTTTACTGTACTTATTTTTTACATATCTATCTTTCTACTAGACTATGAGCTAATTAAGGGCATGAATCATGGTTTGTCCTCATTTCTGTTCTAAGAGCCTAGCAGTTGTTTGACAAGAAGTTATCAGAAAAATAACTGAATCTATGCTCTGCAAAGTTGAGAATTTTCATCATTTTTTTCACTAATATATTCCAAGTGTCTAGAACCATGCTTGGTACCTGGTAGACATTTAATAAGTATTTTTGAATGAATGAGCAAATGAATGAACAAACCAAACCAGATCTTACCTGGTGAGAAGGCCAGAATCCCAATCTGTAAGATGATGTTTCTTTAGAGTGGGGGGTAGCTCCCACAACAACCCGTGGGAAGGGGAAAGGAGGACACTGTTGGCCCAAGACACCAGAACCTTGGGCATGAAAAAGTCGATCTCTCAGCTGCTGAATTGGTGGCTACAAAAGTTATAATAGTGAAGAACTGTGTTAATTAAAACAAGTAAACATCCTTTCTTATAAGCCTCGCCCCATATAGCATTCAAACTTCAGTTGGCCCTCTACACTTCAGCCACCTTAGATGACTCAAAGGTCCCTAATCCCTGCCAAGCCTCCCTCCTTACTGTTCCTTCTGCCTAGAATGCCCTACATCTGCTGGGAAGCTGCTTCTTTTTGAAGGCCCAGCGCAACTGTTTTAACCACTGGAAAGCCTTCCTTGATTGCTCTGGGCAAAACCAGCCCCTTTCCTGGAGTCCCACAGTGCCTAGTATAAACTTCTGTTATAACACTGTAAGTTACTGACATCTGATTTCCCCCAAGGGACTGTGAGCTTCCTAAGGGACTAGATCTCATTTATTCTAGAATTCCAGCATTTGCATAGTGCCTAGAACATGGCAGTGCTCAGCCAGTGTTAGATGACTGAAATGGTTTGCTCTCTGTACGTGGTCCCACTCACCTGAGTACAGTCACTGGGTAGGTAGCTCATGGCAGTGGCCAGGCTGCCCTGGGCTGCCAGGAGGTTGGCATACTGAGTGACCCTGCAGGTTGTGGCAGGGCCTGCGCTCACCCCGTCAGGACCCCGCAGTAGCTCCAAGCTCCTATTAAGGACCATCACCTTCTCCATCAGGTCCTACAGGAACAGGGATAAAGGCAGTCAGGTCTCTTCAAAGCACATCCTGCTCCCTAAGACCAGGCAGTTGACCCAGGGACTTCCCACTTTGGGTATGAGGGTACCTGGCCATGGCCAGGTACAGGCAGCAAGTGATGATACGTAAGAGATGTAATAGTTAGAGAAGAGCCTCTTGGCCTCACCTCCCAAGCTATTAGCATTTGCTTCAACTGGGTCCATCTGGGTCTTAGACTCTCATACATCTCTGCCTCTTTTTTTGCTTTCTTTACCCTTTCCTCTGCTAGTACATCATCAGTTTCAGGGTCTGTTATACTATCGTTTCATCTGTGACTTTGTCTTCCTATGAGTCTTCTCTAGTTACCTGTAGAGTGTCTGGTAAAATTTAAATCCACAGAACTTTTCATAGCAGCTAATAGGAGGCCCAGGCTCACAATTATTCAAATAGAGAATAACTTTGTATAACCAAACCTAAAGTGGGAAAAAATTATGAAGGTTAACACCTAAGCAGCTGTTGCTCAGTCTCCCCCGACTGGGAAGGAGAGAGGGAGGTGCTAGCTCATCCCTGGGAAAAGGTCCCAGACACTGAAGGCCCTTCTCTACTCCCTAATATACTGATCCCAGCCTGGGTACCCAGAAGACTTGCCTCTGATGTCCCTGCACATCCCTATCAATAGCCTCTCCTAAGAGCCTGGTATGGAGTGACCAGTGCCCTACAGAGAAGGAGCACCTGTAGAGCCAGGGGGGAGGAAGCCTGGTGGCATCTTGCCCAACACTCCACCAGCTGCTCCACACTCCCTGAGCACACATAACAGAGTCTGGCTTCGGAGGTTAGTGCTCTGCCACCCTCCTGTTCCATGCGAGTACCCAGCATGTCTGCAGAGAGAAGGAAAGTTCTTTAATGGCATAGCTTTCCTGTGCTTCTTCTCATTCTCCTGTTTGAAAATAGGTGGAGGATCATGAGCTGGGACAAGTAACCACAGTGGCTTTGGACAATAATGAGGCCAACTTTGCGCTATAGGGAAGGGCGGAGCTCTTGCGAGAAAAAGTAAAACAGGACAATACATGATCCCTACTAGAGTCCTTGCCTCCCAGCTGAACCAGACCTTGGCCTTGACAACACGACCTGACCTCCCAGAGCTCAGGCTGCTCCTCTGCCTCCTCCCTCACCGTGTCCTTGAACTCCATGCTAGAGTCACACCACTCCATCCTGAAACCCAGGGCTACCTACCACAGAGCTCAGGGAACTTCTCTGGCCCACAGTATGTCAGGAGCAAGGCCAGTGCCTCTTTCCAGTTCTGCAGGCTACAGGCATAAACCATCTCCTCCCAATTCTTCCGTACAACACAGGCTAGCAGCTATAATGAGCAGAGAGGGATGGACGTCATTAGCCATCCATCCAACACAGTCAGAGTCACACACAGGGACGTGCTAAGAAAAGCCACTGGTGAACAGGCTTCCTATTAGACCACTGACTAGGCGTTGGGGGTGAGGTAGGGGTGGTTGGAGTGGGGAGAGGGAAAGCCTGGCAGATCTTCTAAACATCAAGGTGTAGGCATCCACCTGACAAAGTCCAAGTAATCCCCTCCCCTCCTCTCCTGCACAGTGGGCAGTTACCGAAGAGATTCTGGTTTTCTTCTTGGCCCAGTAGCACTCCTGTGTTTGCTTTAGCAGATCTGCACCCCCAGCCTGGGCCAGGATGATGGCATCAGCAAAGCGCTCTTCTTTCAGACACAGCTCCACAGCAGGGCGTAGTTCTCCAAGCAGGAGAGCCTGGCTCAGGAGTCCATCAGTGTCTGCAGGCAGAGGCATCCCCTCCATGTGAGCCTGCCCTCAGACCCTAGCTTCCTGTTCCCTACAGGGCCCATAGTACACCCCTTCTATCTCTGTATCACTCAGCCTCCCTTGCCCCAAACAAAACTCCCAAGTTTCATTCCTCAACAACAAAATGTAGTGGGCTGTCCCAGAGGGCCAGGTCCAGTGGTAATCTAAGGACAGGGCTCAAGATGAGGGAGAGCCTCATATGGCAATATTAGAGGTATAGTGTGTGGTTGCTCAGCAAAAACAGAGTCACAGTGGTTTTTTGTTGTTGTTGTTGTTGTTGTTTTTTAAAGATTTTATTTATTTGCAAGAGAGAGAATGAGAGACAGAGAGCATGAGAGGGAGGAGGGTCAGAGGGAGAAGCAGACTCCCTGCCGAGCAGGGA